CCCATCGCAGTCTTTCGGATGACGAGGAGAGACGAAAACTTGAAGACGTACCCGGATTGCCTTTTCCTGGTGCACTTCCAGAAAGGGACGGTGACGCTCAATGCGCTGCAAGCCATCCGCTCGATTTACTCCATCATCGTACGGTGGGAGTGATACCGTGGTGGCCATCGTGACGTAACGCAGTGCCAGCGGTGCCTCAATTTTGGACACGGTACCCGGAACTGTAACATCAAGCCACGCTGCAGCTACTGCGCTCACGAACACGCCACTTCTGACTGCCCTGCGGATGGAGCCGTGGCGTTAAAATGCGCCAACTGTGGTGGTGCACATCAAGGTTCCGACAGACAGTGCTCCAAACGCGATGACTTCAAACGCATCCGAAAGCAGGCGTCAAGCAACAATCAACCAGGACGCAAGAAGGACAAAACCCCAGCATTCAGGACGGAGGATTTTCCGCCTCTTCGTGCTCCCCAGCAAAGGCAAGCAAATTCTTGATTCTGCCAAACCCCCCTTGGATTCTGGAGACAACCACCAGCGCCAAACAACAACCCCGATCTGTTCCCAGCAGATGAACTGATGGAAATCTTCGTCAAGAAGACCGGTGCTCTTCGTAAGTGCCGCAATAGGCCCGAGCAGATCCAAGTCCTCGATAATTTCATCATCCAGTATGGTGTCTAAACCGCTAACTATCGTCACCAGAAATGCTTGCTCTGTAAGAGTTAATTAGATTGAGCTTGATGACTTCCTCCGCAAGCACAGCATCGACGTGGGCCTTCTAACCGATACCCATCTAAAGTCCGGCGACAGCTTCTGGTTTCCTAACCACAACATTATTCGGCTTGATCGCACCAGCTCCAAGTGGGTGTGTTGCGGTCGTCGTCAAGAAAGGGATAAAATACCACAGTCTGTCCCATATCGACAGTGTATCGCCAGCAGTGGACTAGTGGCTAAATTCAAGAAGGACCTGTCGACCATACCCTGTACCGGTTTGCGCTTCGTAGTTGGAGGAGTTCTAAACGCTGGCCATGAGGCCTGGTGGAACTACCAGCAGAACCAGAATGGTCGTCTGCTGTTGAACCACTCACAGCATGGGCTGTATTCCGTTTGGTTTTCGGATGAGCCAACATTTATCTCACCGGCAGGTAGCCCACCCAAGTAACAATTTTGGTTTTATGAGGGTTCTGTAGATCATGATTTAGATTTGTAGAATGCTATAAAACCGCGATAAAACCTGCAATGTTACTTGGGCATCGACGCTTGACCTGTTCCTGACAAATATCGACTTGTCCAAGCCGGTAGCCTTGAACGAACTCAGCTCCGACCACCAACCGGTGGTGGCTGAACTGGGCTGCAACGTGGCTCCTGCTTCAAGCCTGCGCAAGGACTATCATCGCGTAAACTGAGCCCAGTTTGGACGCGTGGTAGACAGGCACATCAGCGTTGGAGGGACTCCACCAAGCCATAACCGTGGCTGACGAGGCGTGCGTCCGACGAGTTCCTGTTATGGGTAAGTTTATTGCCATTGATTCCCACCCCAAGCAACACGGCTTGTCATAAAGAAGTTGAAAATACTTTGTAATGACTAACGCAAAGAATCACTAATACTTTATTATACATCATTTAATACATTTATACAACCTAAAAAGCGCAAGACACGGAGCTTATACAACTAAATACTGGTCTTATAACATGTTTTGGAAACATCATAAAAACCAGCGACAAAAAAAAACCATAAAAAAATCTTGAGCATGGGATTCGATCACTGGTCCTTGGCGTGGTAGACTTGTTTCTACCTAACTAGACCAACACCGCTTGATGAAAGGTTTGTTATAAGTATCTATCATGTTCTTGCCAATGGCATGAACATTATTTTCTCGTTCAACACGCCTTCGATCCGTCATGAAGACGTTTTGTTAGTAGCAAAGCGTACATCTAATTGCCAGAATGTTATTTAAACGTATTTTCAACCCCTTTTAAGACAACCTGCACATTTTCAGTTGTATTAATTTATGAGATGTCATAAAAAAGTATTTTAAACTTTCTTTATAACAAACCTCCGAATACCTCATAAGAAACTGTCAATCACTGAGTGAAGAGACAGTCGACTCAATGGCACCGTCAATGTTTACGTCAATCTGGATTGATTTTGTATACGACAAGTTTAATAGGGGTATTAAAACAGTAAGATGCACGTTCAAATAACATTTAAAGATAAAAGCAAAAGAAAACTATTTTGGATAATGTTGAATCGAAGAAGTATGAAGAAAACATCTTTAAACCTCATATATAACGTAGGATGTTTTCTGCATCTCTTATAATACATTTATACAACAATCTGTTCTAATTCTTTTTCAAAAGATGTTTTATGTGTTACTTGGGACACCCAACTCTTGATTCACCTGAGAAATGTTCGTAGACGCCAGTTCCAAAGAACCGGAGATCTAACGAGGAAACGTGAAATGGCCGATCTGAACAAGGAGGTTGCTTCCAGAATGGTCTCACTCCGGAACGAAAGTTTCAGGCGGCTCGTCCAGAATATTGACGACCGCTTCAGACCAAGACGCACTCCAAACCCATTCCACCACTCAAAGATGAAAATGATGACGATCGGCTCATAATCACCCCTCAGGAGAAAGCAAATGCGATTGGTGAGCATATTGCCAAATCGAACTTGCTTGGCTTCCACATCCAAAGTCCGCTCGAAGTTCAGGTTGAGCAATCCGTACTCATCCTTGATTTCTCCCCTTGTGCTCAGCGCAGAAATGCACCAAAAACATGAAGGCCCTCGGGTTCGACGGAATAAATATTCAACGTAGTGTTGAAAAATCTCAGCATGAGGGTTCACTCTCTGCTGGCAGCTGTCTTCAACAGATGCTTGGAACTGCACTACGTTCCAGGTATCTGGAAGACAACAAAAATTATACCAATCCGCAAACCCAGGAAGGACCTAACGCTAGCTTCAAGCTACAGACCGATCAGCCTCCTTTCAGCGCTGAGCAAATTGTTCGAGAAACTCATTCTCAATCGTTTGCTCAAGTTTGTCGAGGAACACAACATTCTCCTACCGGAACAGTTTGGGTTCAGGAAGGGGCACTCCACAAATCATCAGCTAGTACGAGTGATGAATAACATCCCAAGTAACAAGGCTGTATCTAAGTCCACAGCGATGGCATTGTTAGACGTTGAGAAAGCGTTTGACAATGTGTGGCACAATGGGCTTGTATACAAGCTTTGTAACTTCAACATTCCTTGTTAAAATCACCCGTAACTACCTTCAGAAAAGGTCGTTCAGGGTATCGTTGAATGGCTGCCTTTCAAACACGTTCTCCATCCCAGCAGGTGTTCCGCAAGGAAGTCTGTTGGGGTCTTTGTTTTACAGCATCTACACTTCTGACATACCTCCCCTCGGAGGTGGCTGCGTGTTCTTCCTGTTCGCTGATGATACCGCAATAACCGTCAAGGGTAGGATGCCTCGCGAAATAACAAACAAGCTCCAACGATGTCTTGACGCCTTTACTGATTATGCACCATCGGCAATCACCCAAACTAAAACCGGCTCCCTCTTGTACTGTAATCATGGATGGCACAAGGGTTGAGTGGTCTGCCGAAGTAACCTATCTCGGGATGTTGTTTGACGAAAAGCTCCTATTCCGCTCGTATGTGGAAAAACCGTAATCAAGTGTTCCGCCTTGGTTAGGTGTCTGTATCCGCTGATTTGCCGTAGATCTCGCCTCTCAAGGGTGAACAAACTGGCTGTCTACAAACAAATAATAGCACCTGCGATCCTCTACGCAGCTCCGGTGTGGGAATCATGTGCACAGACTCACAGGAACAAAATCCAGGTCGCTCGGAACAGAGTGCACAGGATGATCCTTGATCGTCCCTTTGACACAAGATTTCAAAGCCACTTATGGGCTACTTCATCACTAACTATTTTGTTCTGAAAAAATCTTAATAATTAGCAAACCCTGGTTGGTCATATTATTCTACGAAAGAAAAAAAAAATACAGCGACACAGGTAAGCGTGATTGCCTCTCATCCAAGCGCCTGGGTTCGATCCCAGTTGGCACCGTTCTGAGGCATAAGATCTTAGTAAAGCTAGTATAGTCGTTGGCCCCTGGTCCATGAGTTGATGGGTCGATTGGTAGGGTCCAGGTGTGGGAGCTGCTTTCCTGGCGTCGGTAGCATTGGTGTTTATTACGAAAAACAAGGAATAGTTTGGACGCCAAATCAATTCATTTCCCAAAAATGTCTTCAATTGTGTTCTTCTATAGCCGAATTTTAAAAAGTCCCTTAAATAAGCCTAAGGAAAAATGGGGCAAAAACGGCTAAATAGTTTACGAAAGGTTTCCTTAAAAAATCTTCATCCTATGATTGTCATCATAATGGAAGGTCACAATTGCCGTGGCGAAGAAATTAGTAGGGTCTCCTTTTCGGTTGATTCACTCAAGCAATTAAATTTTCATTTTCAAATAATCATCATTGGTGCAAGGAATCAAACAAGCAATCACAATATACAACCTTAAAACAACTCAGTAAAACAGGTGCTGCAAATCACACACACACACAATTCAAGCTGAACAATGCATTAGGTCCTAAGTAACATCAACGGATTATCTTTATCGAGTTTCTCTTTCGTTAATAACATGGGTTCAGAACCGATTCTCGTCGTGTTTGTCGTAATGTCTTAACATGGCCGAGAGGATTCAAAGAGAAAATCAACGAACAGAATCTGTCAATGTTACTTAGGACCTAATGCATTGTTCAGCTTCAATTGTACTCAGGTAACATGAAACGGATCAAAAATCAAAAGCACATACCATCCTAGCTAGCTCATCGGTACTCATCGTGGCATCATCGGGATAGTAGGATTTGCGTGTGCGTGTGACATTTTTGTTGTAGTTGTAGTTGTGATGGTGGAAAGTAGTAATGGAATTCATGGATGACGATGATGATGATTGTGATGGAGAGTAGGAGGAAGCTCTGGAGCGATAGCGTACCTTTGTGCCGACTTCTCTCGTCGAGATGCCCATCTTCTCGTGGTGCCTCAACTGCACCGGGTAGATGATCTGGTAGGAGTTTCTACCGATCTTTTCCACCAGCTCCTGATTCTGCTGGTGCTCCTTGAGTAGACGTTCCACCTCACCTGTTGAGAGAGATAGCAAAGGGAGAAAAGATTAGAAAGTGCTAAGTAGATCAAATAGAATCAGATTTTCCGCTTCGTAATAAATCCAGAAAGGACTTTGCCATAATCGCACTTGACGAACCAACTCGACCCGGGCTCCGGGGTGCGAGAGCGAATGATGCTGTGTCACCAGCACCATCCATCGTCCATCGTCACACCTTTACCGGTGATTTATGAGTTCGTCAAGAGGGGCTGCGTATTTTTTGGCTGTCGAGTAGCTTTCCGTACCAACAACGACGTGTACATGACATTTACAAAGTGCTCTTAAAAGCAGATGCATGTCGGGCCACTATTAAACCGTTGGACCTATTTTGTCCCGTCCTGTTCTGGCAATTGGGAGTTCGGGTGGGGCTCTGTCGCTTGGTTTTTCGAGCAATAGGGTTATCTTGTGGTGGTAATTGTTCTTCCGACCTTTCTACCGTTCGTTGTTTCAACAGCTGACAAAATTGCTCGCTAAACTCTTCAATGCCGAGAGGTCAAATGTCTCAATATCCAGGCAGTGCGTCTCCTCATTTTAATACCAGACACACACTGAGGCGGGTACCAACAGACGGATGTACCACAACCGGTAGGTGGCGAGAGCAAGTTTTAATTTAATTTCCATTTCGCTAAAACTGTAATTAAATTAAATGAAAATAATGCCATTTGCGAACGAACGCTGCTAAAGCATTCTAGCAGGGGCATTTCCATTTTGTCAACTACCGGCCACTCACTCCATTTCTGTACGGTGCGGACGGAGTGTTTTCTTCGCCTCCAGGACACGAATCGAAATAATTGACTTTTTGCGCTTTGACGACGCTCTGGGCACACAAACGATTTTGTCTACTCGTTTGGTAAAAACTCGTCATCAACTGTCATTAGCCAGGGATGCCAGATATACAGACATGTCTGTATTTAAACAGACATTCTTGCTTACAGACCTAATTCAGACATTGGGAAAAGGTTACAAATTTATGAAGAATTCAATATCTATCAACATCCTAGTTTCTCCGACTACGGGGGATCGCAGTCTCGCAGATTTACTCGAATTTGCATTTCAGATTTTGGGTGTGGCGTGATTTTGGTATGGATTAGTTACACTAGCCCAACGAACATTGAATGTTAAATAAGATTCTTATTCAGACAAAAATCAGCTTCTATGTATGTATGTATGTAAGATAGCCACCATCCCTTCAAGACTTGTCTTGTATGCAGCTCCACTTAATAGCAAGATCAATTTGAGCTACCGATCTGAATTCACTATATCGCTGTATGAAGGGCCAAAAACGGAGGGGTGGACCCGTAAGCAGAGACACTTACGCGAAATCCACGGGAATTTAAGAATCTCCTTCCAACGATACGCTCCAACAAATCGAATAACACAATTTGCAATACTTATTAAGCTTCCTACTGGATGGTTTGTTAAGAAAGGGCGCGTCAATCGCCCTGAAACTGTTGGAGTAAAATTCACACCACCACAATCGAATCGGTAGGATAAAGAAAATGATAGTGTTTATTCCCTCCTAGACTCCGGCTGTCAATCATACCATCGTCCAGTTTCAGTTTGAAGGATACCCTGATGCTCCCTCCCAACCCAGTATTTATTTATATAATGAAAATGTATGCAATGGAGAAATGAAATATATCAGAACATTAAAATATGACATAATGAAATACATTTATATGGATAATGTAGTTGCTACTGCAATGAGGAAGTATTTAACATATAATAAGATGCAGCTCTACACCTCCTCAGCTCACAACAGGTGGATGCAACACTGAAATGTATAGGATATATTAAGCAATTAAATATATTTTGCTCGAATGATACTAACAATAATGCTAAAAATTGTGATGAATAACTAACATGACGAGAAATAATCTGCTTAATAATTATAAACATATAATATTATTTAATGTTTCTGCTTCATAAGCTTCATATTAATTTCAATGACTTGCTTGGGTAAACTGAAATATTAAGCTAAAGGTAATAGTATATCATGCAATGTATAATTTATACAATATATGTAGTGAAATGCAAAATGTATGTATGTATGCAGGTATTTTCTTAAATCACAGAAAATATAACAAAATACCAGTGGCGTCCCGTAACCTCTCTATTTACCTTTGGTGCACAGATTTAATGCCATATTCATATTCGAATCGGTTGAAAATACACTCAATCTTCTAGTTTACTCGATATCTATCTATTGCAAGCAATGTATTGATTATTATTTATGTTTTGAGAGTTGGTGCACAGGTAGATCGAGGTTAAGGAAACGCCACTGGAAAATACAGAAAACCTCGATTTTAGTCACTCAAATTCTTAACACTCAAGCTATATATGAATATTTTAATTGCATGGTATGATTGAACTCAACTTTGCCTATTTAATGAATCCACAATTTAAGTAAAGAATCGATTTGCTAAATAATCGAGGTTGTTTGAGCATACAAGAGTTATAAAAATAAGCATCAATGATTAATTCTTGAAATAGCAAAACTCTGCAAAGGTAAAACAATTTAATAACATATGGTGATATTCAATTTATTCTCTGAAAACCATAGATATCATATTATATTATTATAAAATAAATGTAAATAACAATGATTTGATATTTGATACACCTTCTGTAAATGAAACTTATAGTTACAATGATATAATGAGATTTTAAATATGTGAAATAAAAATAATTTATTAGTCAAGCAATATATAAAATATAATGAATGTAAAATAAAAAAGTACCGTAAAACAATGAATGTTTTCCAAATTTTATATTTTTAAAACAAGTACTGAGGATCCAAGAGTTAATTCGTTAGTAATATGTTGAACGAAAATTAAAGCATTTGCACTATTTTTTTAGTTTTGTGACCTAACTTCTGCATTTTGATTTGGGGTTACTTTGATAATGCTCGATGAATGTAGAAAAAAAATGAGTGAAACTCAAACAATTTAGTTCTATAAATATGAAACTTTGAATGAGTATATAATCAGAAAACTTTAAAAGCAATAATAATTCAACATTGAATTTGTGATGGCTGCATCGGAAAAACATTTCGTAAGTGATGGTTTGCGTGCTTTTTCAAAAGCGCGAAAAACACGAAAATGGTTTTTTTACTATTTTTGTAAAATATGTAACACATACTATATAAAACTATGTACAATATCAACGGAAATACCCTAAGCTACAATATGGAATCAATGTTTGTTATTTGGAAAACGCACAGCGAGTAAATTTATTCTTTATATTATACTATCAAAGTTGATCACATTATCAAAGATACCTCGTTTTACGGTACTACAAAATACAAATAAGCTCGATTTTAGTTAACCTCCGTACATTTAACTGATTTATTAGATATTTTATTGGAATTGAAACAAAATCTTTAATATGCACCATGGAATCTTTAAACGCAATATGGAATGCTTTTATAAATATTGGTAAACTTTAATAATGAATCAATAGTCAGAAAAATCAAGGTTATTTGGACAGTTAACAGTTTTCATGCACTTGTTATCATGCATTACAATGATGTGAACGAAGGCTGAAAAAGTGTAATGGTATTATTCTAAAAAAATTCCATCATCGAAGAGCTGAGCATCTACTTAAAGATTTAAATCAATAAATCCAGCCTAAACGGAGGACTCACGAACACAATAAGCTCCCCCATCACTCATATTCCGAATCTGATTATTAAATGAGTATTTACAAGTATACAATTAAATATATCAACAAGTAATGGAATTTTCTCTCCGGGAATGGATAAATAAAATGGTTAATTGCTCTGTCATATAAACGTTGGACATACATTAGAGAAAATCAATCAATGTTACGTTGCTTCTTCCAGTTGTGTTTTGATCCTGTTTTAAATATTTGTCATTGAATATATAATAATAATATAATAGGACCTGGGATTTATTAAAACTCAAACTCCACGGTGGTGCCCTTTACACAAGAATAAGCCTCTACTGCCGATGATCTTTTAAACCTGGAGACAAAAAAGCTACGAAAAAGCCTTCATTAAATTCTACTCATACGCGATGTTAATAAAAAATAATAAGATTCTCTTGAATGGGTCGCGTCGCGTCGCGTCCACTCCGGCCGCGGCCTAAGACGGGTACAGAATCCATAGAACATTCACATTTTTGAGCTACCGTGCCCCTTACTTCACGCTTGACGCTTTACCAGCGTAAAAGCTAGCAATGCTAAATAGAAATTACTGTACATAAGTAATACAAATCGGTATTTTTGGTAGCACTGGTAGCAAGCTCCAATTTCCGATGCGCTGCAACTCCGTTGTCAGTATATTCTAATACACACGTACACGCTTATGTTATACAACTAAATAGAGATCCATCGAAGAAGTGCGAGCCAGAGAGAAACGCATTGATTGGAAAACAATGAATCCCTCCATTTCCGTGTGCTAGATAGAGAAAGACGATAAAACGTTATAAAGCTCTATGCAGATGAGAATCGAATTAGATTTCAACGCTGTTCCCCTGCAAGCGAGTAGTTCGTCAGATCCAAAAGCGAGCCAACGAAAGAGACGATCAGTTTCACATTACTCGATCTCCTGTCCCTGTCATGGATTCCAAGTCATAAAAGCAAGACAAATGACACCCGTGGATGGACCATCTCTTGCAACTCAGCACACTCAAAGGAGGGAAAGTGGAAGCCTGTGAAAATGCAATGGTATCCGAAAAACATAGCTAAGGGCAGGAGGAGAAGCTATCCTTTCCAAAATTTTACGTGATACAGTTTATGGATGCCCCCTTAGTGAAAGAGAAAGATAGAAATAGGTAGATGGTAGAATGGAGAGATCTCACCAATATTGATATGCGTCTGTGTTCCGTATTAGCCGCACGGGCACGCTCGTACTCATAGTTGTGTATGTATTTGCTTAGCAAACACATTTTACAATCATCGTACGCCGGTTCCACCGATTCTGCTGCATCTTCAACAAACACAACACGAGCCTTTT